TACAGGTAAATAAAAGAATAGAAGAAGTTGACTGCAAGTGGCTCATCTTATAGCTAACAAATTGCAAATGATAGAAGGTAAACAATAAAGGTGAGTCGTACAGGTAAATAAAAGAATAGAAGAAGTTGACTGCAAGTGGCTCATCTTATAGCTAACAAATTGCAAATGATAGAAGGTAAACAATAAAGGTGAGTCGTACAGGTAAATAAAAGAATAGAAGAAGTTGACTGCAAGTGGCTCATCCAACAAATAACAAACTGTAAGTTATAGAAGTTAAAGAGAAAACAGTTTAGACAAGATATTTGTATTATGTTTCTCACTAATGAAGCTATCGTTGGAGAGTTGTTCATAAATGCTAAGCCCAGAATTAGCATAATTCTTTTTCAATTGCAGTCCCTCAATCTTTGGTATCGATTGCATCTGGTTGAGAAATACAATGTATTTTTAAAATGTAGTGGGAAAAGAAGAACGTTTGGACAAAAGCTTAAAGGCGTTCGCAACTACATAAGGTCATAGGAGTGCTCAAATTTAGGTATAATTTTTTAAAGCATGAAACAGTTTGTTGTTCTTGTTAGTTGTTTTTGTGTGCTGGTTGTTGCTTTGTTGTTGTATTTTGTGTGGGGGCACACACACACACACACACACACACACACAAACAACTCACCAGATCTGGACACAGTTCCCTTGGGCGGTGTGATGGAGCCAGACATGGACGTGTCCGTAGAGGTGTATGACGACACACTGCGACACGAGTCCTTGCTCAGAAGACGCAGCTCGATCGTTCTGTAGTTCTGCAACACGAACGTGCTGCCTTGACCTGGACGAGGGGGGAAATGGGGAAGGGGGGGGGAGAAAAAGAGGATCAGCACTGGTGAGACACTGACCAATGTTTTAACCTCTTCATTGCTGTGATGTTTTCACCTGCTTTTGTACAGACAATATCAATTTTATGTTTATTTAAGAGAGGTTTAAACACAATGCTACGAGGCATCGCGTTGCGAGATTAGGTGCTCGTCAAATTAACGAAATCAAAGAAACTGGGATTTTTCTGAGCGTCGGGCAATTTCAGTTTTAGAATTATTTTTTTTTACTCAACACCTTTTATGTCCATTTAAAAACACATTTGTGCATGGATTTTACTAACAAACGTTAATCAAAGACACAAAAAGTGAATTTCAAGTTTTCAAGGACACTGAAGGTTTTAAAGTCACAACACTTTGGTGCCATTTACTCGCTAGTTTTACCCCTGACACCAGTCGATCCTCACCGCCTTCAATCACAAATATCTCGACTGTTGTTCAAGACAGATGGGTATATTAAGATAATACCAATAACTTCATAATATGCCCCCCAAACGACGAGTGTCTTATTCTACTGCGTCGTAACACATAATATATTGCTTCCTAATTTAAGAATAAGAAGACTTTAGAATAGTGACGCTATAGCCTTTGACACTTCCTCTGTAAACCTGACGAAACAATATGAGTGGACGACTTTTGAAGAATACAGGAAAGAACATACGTTTACTCAGCAGTGGAGCAGTTAAAAATAAAAGGAAAGCTCATTACATTGTCATAATCATAACCTTGGCTTTTGAACTTTGACCTGTTGACAGAAAAGGAGGAGAAGCTTCTTAATTGGTTATGATATTTATGACTGCCATAATATGCACAAAGTCATGAAAGAGAGGCTTCTTTCTTAGTTAAAGACATGGGCTTTGGGAGAAAAAGGGCGGGGAATGGCTCATTTCATTGATGCGACCTAGGCTCGCAGAGAGAGAAAGAAAAGAGGCTAATTACATGGCGCTGTAACCCTGGGGGGTGAAGGGGGGTGGGAGGGGGGAAAGGAGCCACTGGAAGGTCATCGCCTTGATGTGAACTAAGCCTAAGAACAGAAACGCCCTCAAAAATTTGCTAAGTCTCTATCACACGCAGCCAGTAGTCATACAGATTCGTTGTAAACGAATCTGTATGATCAAACTGCATATCATTATTCTGTTTAGATGTTTCAACCTATCGTTCAATTCTCTTTCGGTTGGGGAGATTCCTTCTTTCTACACATAAAGGTTGCCTCATTTCTTAATAATTAAATTTATCCATACGCTGGTTCGACCAATGAAAACCATTGTGTGACCTTGATACATGGCTTCAAGTTCACCATTGACAATCAATAGTCAAATAGGAAAATTATGTTTCACTAAAGTTTAAATACTATCGTTTCAAATCATGCTCCACGCCAAGCACTTTACTTTTTTTATACCATATGCTTTGGTCCGAAAATGAATCAATTTTTAGCTGCTTTAATTATCTTTTTTTTTTTATTTGCACGTGAAGTCATATTACTTGAAGCCGCAAATTCCAAATGAATTCTGTATCACAGCTTGCCGCTTCCAAATCTGACGTAGATGGCACAACAAATACCAGACAGCGCTTAGAGCTACCATGGATACCCTCGTCAACGCACTGAGCCAGAAAAGTGGGTCAATTAAAAATATAAAAAAGAACCTGACCGCAAGTGGTTCATCCTATAGCTAACAAATTGCAAATGATAGAAGGTAAACAATAAAGGTGAGTCGTACAGGTAAATAAAAGAATAGAAGAAGTTGACTGCAAGTGGCTCATCTTATAGCTAACAAATTGCAAATGATAGAAGGTAAACAATAAAGGTGAGTCGTACAGGTAAATAAAAGAATAGAAGAAGTTGACTGCAAGTGGCTCATCTTATAGCTAACAAATTGCAAATGATAGAAGGTAAACAATAAAGGTGAG